ATCCTTCCAGGTTCCAGTTGACGGAGGTCATACTAGTAAGATTCCCGTCAACTGGGTACCTGTATTCTTCTTTCAGCTGGTCTCCGTACTCCGTACTTTGATCGCTCTCGATCAGCTACTTTTCTGCCAAAGCCTAAATCTCTGAGCACATGATATTGAAGAGCGCAAATTCAGAGTGGGGGAAACGTTCCCCGGTAAAATTGCTTAAAGATTTTTTTTTTTTTCAGCATGTCACCCACCATCCAAATCGGGACCACTGGCCTAGGTAGTAGAAAAAAAGGAACAACAGATTGTATCCCATATGATGCAAAATCAAACCGAATTTCGAAGACAGAAACAAACGCCGGTTGTTCTCTCAGAAAAAAACAGAAAATCTAGAATCCGCGTCCGCGACCACGACCACGGGGGGGACCTCCGCGTCCTCCACGGCCTCGTGGTCCACCACGGCCACCACCGCGACCACGGTCTGTCTCCTTACGCGCCTTGTTCTTGGGCTTGGGTGCGTCATCGACGAGGAGGGTATCAAGGGGAAGGCTGTCGGGAAGGATATAATAGCGAATCGTGGAACCGCGGATGTTGATAGTGTCGAGAGAGATGGTGTCACGGCCCTTGGGGGTCATCTTGACAGCCCGGAGAGAGGTGTTCATCTGAGGAGACACGGACACAATAGTGCCGTGAAGAATTGTGCCTAGATGAGGGTCCCAAGTTAGAGAACGCAGTTCTTTCGCCTATTTCGGGGGGTGGGCAATTTTTGGGGGAGGTTGGGTTGGGGATTGCGGGGAGTGCGCGGGGGGTTCTCACCATTCTTCAGCTCAACGGTCACCGTTTCGTTGGCGCATTTCATCAAAAAGCTAGAAGGATCATAACATGTCAGCAGGAGTGGGTTTGATGGGTGCTTGATGCGTCAAGCGGAGCTGGTGATTGCCGCGCACAATGAAGGTGGTCACATACCGGACGAGTTTCATGGTGGATCAGTAAGCTGCAAGCTGAGGACGGTCTCAATTCAATAAACTGTCAAGACACCAGCAGGGAGCTAAAAATTTGGGGGACAAAAAACGTGTTGATTTTGATGATGCTGTTGGACCACAGAATCAGAGAAGAACTGATCAGGTGAGCTTGGTCACGTGATCTGCACTTCACATAGCCTTGAAGTTGCGAGGTTCACTCTCCGCGCTTTCAACTTTCTCTACAATAGGGCAATTTCATGATACATACGTTTATCAAAAGAGAGAGAGAGAGAGAGAGAGAGAGAAAATGCTGCAACAGTAGACACCCCCGCATAACTTTCAACGGAACTAGTTCTGATCGTTTGTGGCATGCTCAACCCAATCTTCCATTAGTCTGAGTGGCGAGAAAAAATCGCGTTCCTAGGCTACTTAAGCAAAGTTAACCCGAGCATTGATCCATCCAAGCAAGTGCTGTAACTAGTTTCTCGTACCTGGTGATTTAAATGAGCTTCAATGGCTTTCATGCACTCACAATTGATGTGTAGGTGAGTAGTGTGCCCACATTGTATGGTATCTCATAGAATCGATGCAGGATCAACATGAATGCTATGTTCAACTCTTACCCAATTTACCTTAGTTATGGACCTGACTTTTGGCGCAGTGATATGTACAGTGAAGTATGCCTGCAGCCCTGACTGTCCCTATTACTTCGCCTTTTGTCAACTTTGTTATAAACAACAAATCCTAGGAACTCACAACCTAAATGAAGCGCCAAGGCTCGGTGCATGTTTGATTTCAAATCAATTCTTTCTTGTTGACCAACTGATCAACAGCATTTCGGCAGACTTGCAATCTATGCTAGCAGAACGAGAGAGGAATGGCCAATTATGTCTTTCAATAGCACAGACTCAATCCGACATCTCTAATCTACATATTACCGAAATATATAAGCAAGGCGTATTGAATAGTACAACTGTGTAAAAGTAAGCTGAGACGTTACAAATGCAAATAGCTTCCAGACCCCGAAGGATGCAGCAAATGAAACCGACTCAGTGAAAACTAGGGCAGCAGTTAAGGGGTTGACAGGGCCAGCCCTGGTCAGGTTTGTCATCACATATAACAGAGTTAGTCCCAGACCCAAGAAACTGAAGATCGTCGTATATCCCAACTTTAAAAAAAGGGTTCGGAAGATGGCCTTATTTCCTACTCCGTTCTCCGTACTCCGTCATCGGCCACGAGGCAATGATCAACCGTGCATTAGTACGGAGTCGAAACCGCACATGTCTTGAATCAAAGTGATACAGCTGCGGATCCCCTGTGGAGTGAGCCGATCATGACCGTGCCTGAGCCTATGTTGTAGGGGCGATTGGATTTTGGACACCCACGCCTGGAAATATTTAGCTTCGGGTGACAAATCCTAGGGCGCTAAATTAAAGTAGACCATAATATGACCCTAACAAATTAAATTTTTGGTCTTGGCTGTATTCTCTCCGTTTCTCTATGACAAGCTCCACTATTGCTTACAGTTTTGCCATTTTAATACATGGTTGCCTACAACTACCACGACCCCCAGCATTCTCGCTTATTCGTCGATCTAAGACCTAAAAGATCAGTTCAGTGGAAGTACGGAGTACTTGGGAACTAAATTCGGGAGCCAGGCATTACTACATATGATCCCTACTAGAACGGGATGAACTGGGGCCTGACTCGTAGCATTTATTTAGGGTATTTAATTATTACTAGGGATCATTTACTTATGTGGGAACATTTTACACTTTTTGAATTCTTTCCCTTTTTTTAAAAAAAATCAAAAAAAAATCAAGACCAAATTACTGCATTTAGTCCCTCAATATAACTATGGATATGATTTCTCCTAGAAAGGTATGGTTCGTAATGTAAACTCTTTTTGTTTTTCCAACGGCGCCTATGTGGGGGCCAAGAAGTGATAGGGGGACAAGCATCGGGCCGGGGATGGTGGAATTCACGACTTCAACCGAGTTATTGAGCAGTTTTTTTTTCGTATTTCCAATTTTACATTTCATTTTCGATTTACATAAGGGAGTTTCGGAGTTTCTAGCCACGCGCTAGACTACAGAGAGCGTGGCCCCCAATCCGCCCCCATTTACTATAATGGGGGCTAGAATTCAATGCCCAGGCCAAGATTGTCATCTCCCCTTAGGAGGATCATTACTGTACAGAATATAGCCCCAGTCGCAATCAGTCCCGAATCTTTTTTTTTTCCCACTAATCCTCTGTTTTACCCGTTATTTGTGGGGGTCGAAAGTCCAACTCTGCTCGTGATAGTTCCCATCGACCCACCTCATATGAAGATCCTGAGATTTCTTTTCTTTCTTTCTTTTTTCTTTTTTTTTCTTTTTCGTTTTCCTTTTTTTTTCTAGCTGAGCTTCTTATGGAGCCGAAACCCAACTACTCGCTATCATAGATGTAATTTAGACAGTGAACAAGCGGGTAGTAGGCGCAAGAGTAGGTTTTAGTAGACCCGGCACTGATCGATGCACGCCAGTGGCGCACAAGAAATCTAGAAGTTGGTGTTGGTTTCTGAACTTGTGGGCCAGTAATGCTACCCAACCGGGATATTTTAGATCATAAAACGATTGCGGGGGTCACTAGTAAACGCCCGCTGCTGGATATGGGCTTTTAAATACTTCACCGTGCCCGTTCTGTGTCTCCAATTTAAGCACTCAAAACAAAAGCCTTTGATTTGCCATAGTGAGGGAATACTCAGATCGGAATACCAAACTGTATGTTGACTTCCTTTTACTAGTGCCGCTTTTCCCCTTATACTCAACCTTGGCCCCTCCTACCCCCTACCACAGTGCTTGCAATCTTACAGGTCTGAGACCTATATAGTTCCTAATGTTTCCCGGAGGATCTGGCTCACAGGAACCATTTTCTTCCCGCAGGAATCATATAAATCTGCCGGTCTCAGACTCGCAATCCAACACTGGGCTTTCGTCTCCACTAGTCCAGTCAGTGGGAACTCCCAACTTTTCATCAAGCGTTCACCCTGGATCAGACTCTCACTGGCCCATTCAGCACATACAAAGCTCTATTGCTGCCGTGCAAGGTTGCTCTCAATCACGAGCATTTGCGCTGTCACTTCCCTCGCATCACTCAACAACGAATACCAGCACCAGTCAGCCTCACTCTTTGCCCGGCTCGAACTATCCACCAATCAAGTCAACAGCGCAGTCTTCTATCGAGGACCCAAATCCCATTAAAGAAGAAATTGCATTGGAAGATTCACGGTATGTCAAGCTAAATCGCTATAAGATACGACCTAGGTTCTGTGCTGACTAGGGCTTCCCCTCAACAGCGGCCTTGGCATCTCATCATACCCCATGTCGGTAGTATCAGACAAATATTTCGCTGGCCCAATGCAGCACAATAACCACCGTACGAAACTTATCCAGACATGGTTCTAAGAGAATTTAACTGACGCTTTCAGAATATGCCTGGACAAACCGACCTTATCAGCCTTCGCAACCACCAGCACAGATGAGCCCACCATTTCTATCTTCTCATCCGTCGTATCCTTCATCGAGCTATTCGATGGGTTATCCCGGTCACCCAAATGGACCGTTGCATGGATATCAACAGCAAGAACATCAGTTACCAGCGTCTTATTTTGCAGGACCTGGCAATCCTTCTCGTCACAGTCAGCCTAGAAGGTAACATTGAAAACCGATTGATTACATGGCCTTGAGAGACTGACACATCCTATCCAGTCCGCCCATCAGTCGCTCCTACCACTCTCAATCGGCTTCGGGCACTCCTCAGTCAGAGCAGCCTCTCATTACGTCGTATGTGGAAATTACCGCTCGAAGTGTTGGGAAAAAAAATTTCCAGTGATATAGTTGCTAACATCCAGTGATAGTCCTCCCCCTTATATAATAAACCAACCTTCCTACTACTTCCCTGACACATCAGCTATTCCGTGAGTTGAATCAATGAGCCCGAAAGAGTACAGCATACTAACCGGAAACCAAAACTAGACCACACCCTTCCTCGATCAGCTCTCAGCCACCATCGATGGCTGCCGATCCTATTTACTCATCGCCTAAATCAGGCGCTGCTTCAGATCCCGAACATTCAGTCCGAGCACTCAACTTGCGCCCGCGACCGCAATGCTGGGACCATGGCTGCAATGGTCGTGAGTTCTCAACATTCAGCAATCTCCTCCGTCACCAGCGAGAAAAGTCAGGAGTGGTGGCCAAGGCTGAATGCCCCATATGTGGCGCGGCATTTACACGTACAACAGCACGCAATATCCATGTTGCGCAGGGCAAGTGTAAAAGCCCAGGCAGAGAATCATCCGCTGATTAGATGGCGCACACACTCAATTTTGATTTCGGCGTTAAAGCAAAGGGGCTCGGCATTGATGGGACTGGATCGGTTTGTTATACATGTGTATGTGTATTTGGGGGAGCCAAAGAATCCTCTGAGAAAAAAGGCTTGATGTCTTGATAGAATTTCTCGCGCATACAATTTCTTGGCATCGGATAAATAGGGGCCACGTGATGATTCGGCCCGTGCCATTTGTGAGTCAGTTAAGCTGCACTCTGCATCACAAATCAATTCAATTATATTGCAAGAATGCCTTATGTTTCTCAAGTCTTCCCAGAACTGCTCTATCTATCTCCGTATTCGTGCCTCTTACCAATACCCTTGTTATCCGTTTAAATTGTAACAGTGCCCATGGCATCCATCTTCACATATGATCCAGACCCACCTCGGGTGTCATCCCCGTGGTCAACGTCGGGAGCATCAACTCCCCAAATCAGTGCATCGGGTAATCGGGGTTTAGCCATCCGCACGCGTCCCAGCACCACTCCACTACGCGTCGACCCTGATTTGTTAGCCAATTATGGAATATCCAAATTGGAACCAGAACCCCAAGAGGGTCCCACTGAGTACAAACTGCACCTTCTGCTTCGACCCAGGCGCCCCTATCTCTCAATGTCAACAGGGCATGTGATAGCTGGTTCGTACCATCACCATCACCATTACCGCACCATGCCAAGCATGTCGACCTCTGTTTCTTCGAGTTTGGAACCAGCCCCAAGACCCATGCAAACCAAATCTAGCCAGAGCCGCCATCAACGACTACAAGGGTTGACTACCCAGCTATTGTGGCGTTTGCAACAATCCTCGCCTTTTCACTCATCAACTACCTCTAACCTCGTGGTGCCTGTTCTTCCCGAGGCAGCCCTAGAGTTGGGTGTGCCCTCTAAACCTGCCCGCTTGCTTCCCGGCCTTGAAGAGAGTCAAGGTGCCTTGTATGAGATTGGCGTCAGCGATGATGGCACCTTCGTAGGCCTCACGCAAGACGAGCTGGATGAGAGTATGACAAATCTACAGGCTATGGCTGCCAGTCTTGGGTGTAAGGTTGAGATCCTTCGCCGAGTTGTGGTTGGGAATTGTGAATGGGCCGAATTTTTGCCATCAAAAAATGCTAACGAAACCAAAAACACTGAAAGTCTCTGGGTCGCGGAGGCTCTGGTTAGTCCCGATCTGGACTTTTACAATATCTCTCCGATCAAATCTAAGAATGATACAGAGGCCGCCGCACACCCAGGATTTGGCAACACGTCGGCCTTGGACGAGGATTACTCCCACACAGAGCAGATTCGCATTTCTCTTGCAGGTCCAAGCACTGCAGGGAAAACTTCTTTGCTGGGCACATTGACTTCGTCTGCGCTTGACAATGGAAGAGGCAAAAGCAGGTTAAGTCTGCTCAAGCATCGGCACGAAATCACATCGGGCATCACCAGTTCAGTTGCCCAAGAACTGATAGGGTACACAGACGAGAGGCCACCAACCGTAATGAACTACGCTTCCGGTAATGTTGCCGGCTGGGATGATATCCATGCCGCTTCGAATGGAGGTCGCTTGGCTTTTGTGTCCGATCTACCCGGCTCTATTCGATATTTGAAATCTACCCTGCGAGGACTTGTCAGCTGGGCTCCACATTATGTGATACTTTGCATTCCAGCTAATTGTGGCACCGAGACACCCAGCGAACAGGCAGGTACTGAACAATCAGAAATCGGTACGTGCTTGTCATATCTAGAACTGTGCCTGAAGTTAGAGGTTCCTGTGTTGATTGTCATTACCAAATTGGACGTTGCGTCCCGCAGCGGACTACGGGACAATCTTGGAAGAGTTCTATCTGCGCTTAAAACAGCCGGCCAACAACCGGCGATGCTACCTGCATCGCCTGCGGGTGACAAACCACTCGACCTTCAGCAAGTCAGCATGCTGGACAGCAACCAAGTACAGAAAGTGTGTACGGCAGCTGATGGGAAATGGGCACACACCGTACCTATCATGCTTACCAGTGCTGTGGATGGCTCTGGCATTGGAAAACTTCATGCTTTCCTTCGATCTCTTCCAATTCCCACACGACCATCTCAGAGAAATCTTCACGTCCCTAAAGGGCTGCCAATGCCCTCTCATAACTCCGCCAATATCTTTGACGTGGATGAAGTGTTTGCAATCCCTCCCTCCAAAGTCTATTCACTGGACTCGGAGAAAGGCGGCCAAGAAAACCGCGGTATGGTTCTCTGCGGCTTAGTCCGTCGCGGGAATGTTTCCATCGGCGACGAAATGGTAATTGGCCCCATTTTAGTGGACGTACCAACTGACCAAAGCAATGAGCCCCAACCCCCGGGAGGGTCACTATCCTGTGGTGGGCCCGGCCCGCCGAGTGATTGCCCGGCATCTTTCTCGCAGAGCTCACTGCCCGGCAAAGATTTTCAAGCAAGATGGCAGCGTATCCGCGTTGTCAGTGTAAGAGACCTGCGACTTCCTGTCCGCCGTCTAATTAGAGACCAGGTTGGAACTATCGGAATCGAACCCATCGGGGCTTCAGATGATGGTCGTCTACCGCGTTTCAGTCGAATTCGCAAGGGCATGATTCTTTCAAACTTCCACGCCCCACTCTCCTGCTTGACTGGCCTTTCGCCTGGCTCCTCGTTATTAGCGCTACCATTCCACACAGGATTCACCGCCACCTTCCGATCTACCGAATTTTCGGCTCCAAATTCTCCTCCACTCTTGCTTGGCGGTAACGCTACTGCATACATCGCCAACATTCGAGCTGCTGTCCGTGTCATTTGCATGGCGTTGATTGGGACTAGCGAGCAACTATCTTCCGAGCCACCTTCTCCATTGGAACCTGAACTCTTCAGCTTTGACGGCGATTCTCATTCTCCCAGTGAAAAATCAAACGGCAACCCAACAACAAATAATACCGTAGATGGCGCAGGTGATGTTGTTCGCCGCCGTTCCTCGACCACGGATATCAGCAAAGTAGTGTCTGGCGTTTCCTCTACATCCATTACCGGGGCTGCTTCTTCTGCAGAAGCCCTGAAAGAGAACGTCAAGATTACTTTTGCACTGGTATCGTCTGTTGAATGGGTGGAACTTGGGTCTCAGGTTCTCGTTATGCCTGGTGTCTCTGCAGCGTCTGTTGTGTCCCAACCCGGGGCTACGGCAGCATCTACACCTGGCTCTAGCTCTGTTTCTGGGGCAGCGTTCATGTCAGGGTTAGAAGGGTTTGTGGGGACTGTCTGCGAGGTTGTCCCTGGGAGAGTTCCGATTGTAGAGAGCTAGTCTGAAGTCTGGCCAATCTTTAACGGCAATTGATGGCACGCTTCTTTTCAACTATTTTTGGGCGTCTTTTTGAGCCGTTCGGCTCAGCACTAGCCATCTTGGTGTCTGCTTTCAGTGTTCATGGTGGGTTTGTTTTTTCCCCCTCACTTTTGTCAATATACTGAGTCCTCACTAGCTGTCAAAGTAGGACATATCTACGGAAATCTCAATAGATGAAGGGTGCAATGTCATTGTCCTAAGAAATTTTTGTCGTAGCAGTTGACAGAGTTACTTTGGATTGTCTCGTATTCTCGACTTGAGCGCACCGACCCGCCCAAAGCAAGATACAAGGCAAATCGGTTGGTAACAACACAAACGGTCCAACTTGATGGCAAACAGAGCCCGCGGAAGGCTCGTCCTCGGCGTATAGTTTCTTCATAAGGCAGGCCATCCCCCCC